TACCCTTTTTAATCCAACTGGGAACTCTCAAGCCCAAATTCTCCATGACTCCAGAGAGAATCAACATGGCCAGCATTCTACGATATTCAAGCTTTTATTCAAGATATTTAACTGGTTTTTTTTGTCAATCCTCGAATGAAAAGTTTGTAGACGACAGACAGTATGTAGATTGGGCGAAAGTTGCCGATATCGTGTAAGTCACGCTTCTTAAACAATAACACAGTCTTGCTGGTCTTCCACTGAGTAGGGACCTTGCATTCAGACAGGTAACGTGTGAAGAGCCGAGCCAGTGTGTTTACAAGGACTGGCGGAAGTTTCTTCAGATGTTCTGGTCTTATCCTGTCCACAGCTGGTACTGTTCGATTTTTCACCGACGAAGTGGCATGTCGGATTTCGGAAGGGAGAGCTGGTGGTACAACATGTCCACCCTCTTTATTTCACATAACGGAAGGTGGACGTGGCTATCGAAGAGATTTGAGTAGTATTCGTAAATGATTTTCTCCATTTCCTTTCTGGACGCTGTAACTGTTCTGTTGGAGTGCAATCATCTTGGTCTTCTAATTGGCGAAGCTTTGGTGGACTTTGCGAATGCTTTTCCCAGCCTCTGTAACTTCGACCGTTACTGCTGCTCTTCTCTCTTTAAAATCTTCTTTTATCGCCTGTCTTCATTGTTTTGCAAGTTCGGACGTTATTCACAGTTGCCTGCAGCTCGTGCGATGCCACGTTGGCGTATCAGCTCGAGTGTTTCTGGAGACAAACGTCTCTTGGTGACTTTCGAACTCTCAGCTTTCATAGCACTAACGTGAAGATGTTGAATGAGCCTATCGTATTCTCCGTCGATGTTATCGACAACGGCATCTTCCCAACAGCTGACTAATGAATTGAATAAATTCGAGCTAACGGTGGTTCTGGGACTTTGGTTTCGGAATTTAGCGCTTTTCTCCTTTTCGCGAAAAATAGAATCTTGCACGAAGGAGACGATGGTCTGATCCCGTGTAGAATTTTGGGCAGCAACGACATCGGTTAGGCAAAACCTTCTATTTTCTATGATGTGGTATATTTCGTTATGGTATTCTCCATTGGGAGACTCCCACGTCCAGCGCTGAGGGTGGGGCTTTTGGAATTTCGGGTTACCATGGATTGTTTTGGTCACCATGATAAACTCAGATAGCCGCTCACCCTGTTCGTCCCATTCCAATCCGTGGCTCCCAATGTAACGTTCTTCTTTGTCCAATCTTGGCGTTGAAATCTCCAATAATGACCTTGAAGAATGTATGACCCTCTCTACAGAACTTTCCTTAGTCCATATAGAACGCTTCAACTTCTTCTTCGTCGTAGTTTGATGTCGGCGCGTAAACGACGAAGATTGTCAAAGCCGGAATTGACCCAAGTCTTTTTAATCGTAAACGTCCGATTCGGGTTGTAAGTTGTTTGAATGAATCGATGTTCATGGACAAACTCGTGTTGACGACAACGCCGATGTCACATGTTGCGAGGAACAGTTCTTCTCCGGTGTCATAGATAGCGTTGAATGAATGGCGTCGTCTCGTCTCGGCCAGGCCGATGATGTCGTACTTTATCCTTCTTGCCTGCATGAGGAAGTCTTCTATCGAGGACTAGGATGCAAGTGTACGTGCATTGTAGGCACAGATCGTCACTATAGTTCTTTGTAATCCAGGCAGCTTCCATTGGTTCTGCGATTTTAGCAGCCTCTCCGTACTCATCCTACCCAACGCTGCGAAATTGGGGTCTCTTTTGGGGTCAGGGGAATGGTGCCCGTTTTTTTTGCTGTGCTTAGCATTTTGGTGCTCACGCATAGCTAACTGGGCTCTGAACGTGGGGGCTGGGTATACTCACGGGTAGCTTGCCAGGCTCTCCTTGAGTGGACATGGAGCTTATTTGTTGGACGCGACTCCTAACCGCCTCCCATATACTTTCCTGTCACTTGATTGCAGGCTTTTGGCCGAATTGACTCGTAGAATACAATCCGCATAAGTGAGAACGCATCCACACACGCATGTATGAATACGCCTAGCAAATACAGAATGTATGTGCCAAATCGGCGCAGCAAAAACAGGGAGTCCAACTTCTGGATCCACCTTCGTTTCAGGGAAGCAAAGGTCGCTTTTGGTCCGTGATTAACCCTCTATCCGCCAACAGGGGACGCGCGACGTGGCCTCGCAACTAACCGGCTCGAGATCCCTCGTATGAGGGAGATTGATGAATTATTGGGCTTGGTAACTAACCTGCAACGTGGAGGCGAAAATGGCGGCATTTTTTGTGGCGACAATCTGTTTAGCAGCCAGTTGGACGATGCGGTCAGCATGCGAACAAGCAGCCAGTTGAACGGCAGTCGACCAGTGACTGTTACGAGTCTTCAGCTGAGCTTCCAGCAGTGACTCCTGATCAAGGCTGTTTCATAACCTTCTAAGTAGTGGTGACAAAGAGTACAAACCTTTCCGGTAACGTTGTTTGTGAACAGGAAGTGACACACGGCTGTAACCTGCTTGTGAACGTCGTCATGCAAGAAACTTGGGAACATCATCCAGCGCCGAGCCTGTTTATTTATTTGTGTATTCATTTGGTGTCTTTAAAAATTTCAGAAAGGCACTGATGTTTAACTCATCTTTCCATTTCGGTCTCAATTAGTTGCCGCGTATGAAGGAAACGATTGACGGAGTGGAATAAAGCGTGCAGAAAGGTACAAAATGTTATTATAGCTAAAATAACGAACGCCGAAAGCTGGGGCAAACAGGAAAGCACAAAAAGCGATATATGTAGTCCATATCAGCGCTTAACATCTTATTCAAAGAAAGAAAGAAAAGTTGCCAGAGTCTCTCACATTGGATGCGACATTCAACACGGCTTATATTTGCAATAATTATGTTTTGTTGGTTGTGCGTAGTAATAGTTTAAGAGGCCGTACCACGACGAAATCGGTGGCAATCGTAGTTTGTACCTCATTGGTGTGGGTTTTGCTCCAAAATTTAAACTATGATACAAACAGCTCCTTCCTTGTTCCCGGAATATTCTAAAATTTGAAAAAAGCAAGTACGGAGTAGGTGCCAAATTGTAGTACTAATCGTCAACCGAAAGTCGGAATCTTGCTGGATATTGTCATTGGGTACATGAAGAACAATTATAAAAGCTTATCTTAATACTTGTCTCAAAATTTCGTCGATAGGACCATGGTATCGAAGAGATTTAAGGCTATCGTTTTGCATGAAGTGCTGAGATACCTGCAAAACTCCTGACCACAGGTGTATGCAGTGGAGAACGAACACACGCTGTTGTCCTTACCGGGGAGCAGCGCACTTCACCACTACACCATCCGGGTCATCGTTTTGCTTTATTTCTGAGCATATAACAACGTGTCACACCTAAGGGAACTGGTTAATCCCAACTACAACTACCAACAAAGTTTCAAGATGGAAAAACTGCAAGAGTCAGTAGTAAGAGGAGGATCAGTAATCAAAAACGACTATAAAATCTGAATCAACAGAAAAGGACGTCGTGCCAAAAGTCTAAGGCTGTTCGAGTTTCTTACCGTGACTAAGCACAACAGATAGCTCCTATTGGTGAAAGCGAGATTGGAAGCTTTATTAGTGCTAATTGGAGTTAGTCGGTATTTACAGATGATATGTAATAGATGATGTACGCTTGATGTATTATACTTTCTTCATTCAAAACCGCAATCGATTAGCAAAAAAATCGAATAGTACTCCACAAACCTGAACTTGTTGGTCACAGGTGTGTCGATTTGTTATACATCGCAGTTGATAAATCTTGGACAAACTAAACAGCGACTTGCTAATCTCATTGCCATGAAATACTGTAAACATCTAGGTGCGCTTACCGAGTTGGGTCAATTAACCATAACGCGGCGAGCTCTGGGTCGGCCTGAGTTTCGTCCAGCAGCTTGTCGAATTGCGCTACTGCTGGGGTTAGATAAAGCTGCAGTTCTGGTAGATGCACACCGCGAAATGCATCACAAAGACGATGAATCGCGTCCATGCCGATCAGAGCCACTCCTAGGTCGGACTCAACGGCCAAATAACTGCAGTTGTTAGAATATTCTAGTTGGTTTCTTCTTTGCAGAAAAGTTTGTTTTAGTATATCTAACTAGAATTTGCTTTTCAAAGTAGAAAAAAATTAATGAAGTAGCCGAAATATCCAGGCCATTTGTATACGGGCAGCAATTACTAGTGATTACACTGCATACAAAGTATGTGGTGAACATGAAGACGAGGGTTGGCTGCGATGTCGTGCACAAGTTCCGTATCAAGTTGTGCGTGAGTTAGCTTTTGCTTTGTCTTTTCAGGCTTTCGAGCTTCTTTTTACATGTAACCACATGCACTTGTATCCATGCTACATAAAAGGATTAAGGATAAAGAATGAAGCTCTTGATATTCATCACTGGCTGAGGGATGCGCCATACATTCGATTTAATAAAGCATCTTGGAGCTGAATGAATGCGTATTGCTCCAAAACAATGCTTGAAGCCAGTGAATTTATCCACTCTGACAAGTCTACCACCATATTGCCGAGTCGGAGGGATGGAAAGACTGACGAGTCGGGTGGCCGGGATCGAACCAGTGACCGATGGAGTGTTTATTACAGAACAACTCAAACTACCACGCTAGATGCGCCATATATTCTTCATTTTCGAGCTAACTTGATTTTAAATTAGGCGTTTTGAGATGAAAAGTGGAAAACGAGTAAATTCAGGCGACCTTTGCACAAATTCAAACATAAGAGAAAAGCCGAAGAAAGGAGTCTCAATATCATTATTATATTTCGAAACCGACTTTCTCTAAACCTCGGTGTGACTAATCAATATGTATTCTTTCTTGATAAGCTTGCACGAGGTTGATAAATATATTTTCGGCTAACGTTTCGACGTCTTCGTCTTCCTTAGAGCCGATGATCCGAGTCGATGGTCCATGATTGTTGTTCGTCTCGACGTTGCAGCTTCGCCTTCGTAAAGTCGGTTTCGAAATATTACTACGCTTTGTGCTAGCTGATAAAACACCGACTTCTGCACGATGTCCGCAATGATGTATGTCCGGAAGAAATACAAGTTGTTACCACCGGACATTATCATTATATATCCACCATCAGCATCGTGTATAAAAGAGCATCACTGAGTGAGGATGCCTCATTCGAGAAGATGGATCATTCAGGAAGACCTGGCTCGACACGAAGGCGAAGCTGCAACGTCGAGACGAACAACAATCATGGACCATCGACTCGGATCATCGGCTCTGAGGAAGACGAAGACGTCGAAACGTTAGCCGAAAATAAATATATTTATCAACCTCGTGCAAGCTTATCAAGAAAGAATACATATTATTATTATACTTGGACAGAGATGAACGTATTTCACAAGGTTAGTTTCGAAATTTTGTTGATGCGAATAAGAGCCTTTAAGAAGGACTGGATCCGGGATCACTCTATATCCTTGACAATGGCTACTTGAAGACTTTAACTTAAGAAGATCTGGATTAGGCTTAGGCTTAGGCGTTATGAGTTCCGGGCAGAATTTCTGGTATTTGAAATAACAATTTCGGATGAACATAAACGTGCGTAAAAGCTGAACAATCCTATATAGGTGTGGTGCATAAATTGAGTGAAGAGCATAGAAATCACATTGTTGTACTGATTTCTAGTTTGCTCTTCTCGGGCACAAGAAAAACGATCTAGTCTTCGTTCGTATCCTAACGTGAGGATGGACCCATGAAACAACAACATTCTGTTTGAGTAAAGACGAAATTTTAAAATTAATTCCTGAAGGCAAAACTGCATTTGGACCTCCTGGAAAGTTGATGGGATCACCCCATTGCTGGGCAAAACTACACGGATTAGAATTTCCAAAAGCCGACAAATTGCGCACCGAGAAAGCATCGTGTACTACACGTATTGGTCAGCTGAGAAGAAAGGATTCGGTTGTATGATGACATCCTATCTCATTCGAGCGAACAACTGAACAAAAGTTGAGGTGTTTTAAGGTTTGCATTCGAAAATCTGGCTAAACGCACTCAAGGAAACCCTCGCTGACTAATGAGGCCTACGAACGCCTCTACAACTGATTTCAATGATCAGTAAAAAGTAGAGAATTTAAAAAAGCTTTGAAAAACTGTTAGTCTAGAAAAGAATGTCACCATGGTAAACCACGTGTGAAAATAAAGTGTGTTAAACTAAGTTATATCGCCGAGGGAGCGCTTGTGGCGCAGTGGTCGGAGGCGCCCTACAACACACACTTGGAATCGATCCCCGCGCCCATGGCCCACCAAGTCTTCCATACCTCCGCGGTCGGAAAATTGGTACCACGCCAGATATGCATTGAATCACCGCCAACGATACCTAGTGAAGTCGAATGTATGGCTCTATCTTTTATACCTCATCGACCAAAAACCGTGCACATTTTTATAGTCTTCGTGTTGATTAATAATGTTTGCTCGCATTTAAGTTGAAAATCTCGAACTTTTTGAAACACTTTTGAAATCCTAATGTAATTGAAATCAGCGCTTATATCTCTAATATTTCAAAATTGACCGTCTATTAGTTGCGCGGCTAATTGAAAAAACGGATGACACCAACCCAAGAATGTAGATGAACAACTGCGGAAGATCGGAGTTGGATAGGAAGGTTTCGGCGTCGACGATGATCTGCATTCGTGATTTCACGGGGATTTCTCGATGATTCTGATGTAACTGCAAACAATGGAGCAATCAGTTGAGCAGTTTTTCATTGTTTTTCTTTCTCTATGAGAAAACGAGAATTGGACGACCTCCACGCTAGACGAACTTTTATTTAGACCTTGAACTTAGGTGACTTAAATACAACTGGTTAGTAAAAATACGTCATTAGCTTGAGCTGTACTGAAGTGAACGATATGCTCCAGGTTGAGTAGCAGTTTGTAAATACGACTTTAGACACAAATAGGCAATTTCACTCTCACCATTCTGGCGATCATCTTCCAATTAGTGATGTCGTAGTTAACACGGTAGGGATAGATCCAATTGGGATTTGCTAGGAGAGTATGGCTGGGCGATAACTCAGCGTCCAGAAATGATGAGCTCCGATTTTTAAGCCAAAACTGTCGCACAACCTGCAAGGAAGAAGCTCTTTCTCCTTGGCCGAGAAACCAAAAAGTGCAGCATTGAAATTCAATGTCGACAACGCTATGTGTATAATCTACTTGACTGTTAAATTGTTTTATTCTGTTTTCAATATCTCAACCAGTAAATTTGAAGTATTCTAGGAGATGAGCAACACATCAGAAAGTAGTTCATACAGCTATGGTGCAATTCTATCGGTACACTAATCTGCACCAACCTCTAGATATGCTGAATGTCACATTACACTGAGTTTGAGATATTTCCTCATTCTTACAAATGTGGTGGATGAAGTTGTACCGGGAACTATGCCGATAAAAAGGTGGTAGGTTAGTGTAACGGAGATAAAAGCTATGTAATGAGGGAAAAACTTTTTATTGTAGAACCTGATACCTGTCCTTCGGAACTTGGTAGCGAACCGAAGGTATAGCTGAACGGTACGCTCCAGATGTCAGTGGATCTTGGCGTGCGCCGCGCCTTCCGCAGCTCTTCCCTTCGCGAATGTATCGAGATGCTTAAGAACGCTGGAGATGACGTTGTACGCAACTGAAACATTCGACAGCTACACTTCGAAAATTACGGCAACTTTTCTGTTTCTGAGCTACTGAGGGTTGCAATTTTAAACCTAAGTATAAAATAAAAAAGACAAAAGCTCTTGGTGTCGACCAGTCGCTGAGGGACGTGCTATGCATTCGACATCTTAAGCATCGTTGGAGGTGATTCAATGCATATCTGACCGTGACAATGACTCCCGATGGCCTATCGATGTATCGAGCCAGTGGTGCTATCCTCCCAAACAAGCCTGGTACCAGTTTGCCAACCCCGGAGAGATGGAAGGTTTGATGAGCCACGTGCGCGGGGATCGATCCCATATGTGCATCGCAGGGCGCCTCCGCCCACTGTGCCACGTGGGAATATGAAATACATCAATAAAGTGATACCAAACCTAGAATTGTGCTTCTTCACACATCGCTTTAAATTCCGATCAATTTCCTGCTTTTCCAACCATTAATTACCTCCTACGTGTTCTTTTGCTGTTTAAATTTTTCCAATATTCTCTATGGTGTTCCTGTGCTATTGTCGGTACTGAATTTCGTTGATCTGCCACAGTTAACAATCTTATGACAACAAAAAGGGCCCGTGTGGAGCAGTGGTCGGAGACGCCCTGCAATACACACGTGGAATCGATTCCCCCGCTCATGACCCACCAAGCCTTCCATCTCTCCTGGGTCGGCAAATTCGTGCCAGACTTGTCTGGGAGGATAGCAGCACTAGCTTGATGCATCGGTAGGCCACCGTGAGTTATTGTAAAGGTCAGATATGCATTCACTCACGTCCAAGCGATGGAGACTTCCTACAACACCACAGTAACAACAAGACACTATCGTTAAATCCGAAAGATATAACGAACAAAAATTTTAACTTTTTTGAACTCTACTTTAAGAAGAAAGTGAATTACGGTGACGTGCGTCCCGGATCCCAGATATTCTCATCAGTTTTCTTTTCCTTTTTACTTCATGAGACGTAACTGATCTGATGTGCCTCGTCCAGCCCCATCAGCCCGCGAATGTTTCTTGCCAAAGGATGTCGAATATCATGCTAGAGTACAGAAATAAGAAGGGCGTGGTTCTAGCAAACATGAAAATCTTTTGATGCTCAAGATGTTCACAAATTGGATTATCTCTTCCTAACCAACTGGAATGTTATAAGTATGCTTTGGTTTTACTCAGAATAGGAGCTTATGGATAAATTGGAATCTATCGAAACAGTTTGTTTGAGAAGACATTTAGGTGGCGTAAAATGTACTGCAAGAGGACTGGTAGCACCACGGTAGTGATGGCGAGTGATGGACAGTGCTGGTTCGACCCTGCTCCGGACCCACCAACCTCTCATCTCTTCGGAGTCGGGGAATTGGAACAAAGCTTGTCTGAGAATATTTCACTCATTGCAACATCCTGTAATCCAAATGGGAACGCTCTAGCCCGGCTATCTCAGGCTTCAGAGAGAATTCACTCGACTAGCATTAGATGACATTTGTGATGAGAGCAAAATCCTCAAGTAGCAGCCAAATCCACACGTACAAAGTTAGAAGACCTTTATGGATGATGAATGCGAGAAGGCTGCGATCCGCGCAGTGGATGTGAAAGACGGTTCGTGTAAAAGAAGCAACTTCTTAAGGCATTAGAAAACGTTGGTTTTAATAAAAACGAACTATTTTGTCAAATGAACATTGCCAAAGGAAATTAGAAACAATCAGTTCCGTCTTATTTCAGATAGAAAACCCCTCACGGCATGCTCTTATCGTGGAGACATGGTGAAGTTGAGCAAATAAAAGATAAAGCATGAAGCTCTCGGCGTTGATCAATCCGTGAGGGATGCACCATGCATTCGAGTTCAATAAACATCGTTAGAAGTGATTAAATTCGTATCTGGTTTACAAAACGACTCTGGGCGATCTACTGATGTATGAAGTCAGTGCTGCTTTCCTCCCAGAGAGGTCTGGTAGCAATTTACCGACCTTGGAGGGATTGAAAGCATGGTGAGCCTGGGTCGAGGGATTGAATCCATGTCTATTGCAGTGCACCCCTAACCACTGCGCTATACACACCCTGAAGTTGAGCAGATATCTGAACAAAATTCTTTCCAACAATTCGACTTCGTGTGGTAAAAATACAGTTTCTTCCTTTTAGTTGGGTTCTATCTACACTAAGAGAGATCAAGTCGCACAGTTTCAATTGTGAACTCAAGTAAGAATAGATTTTAAGCAACCCAATATATTCCGAGAAAGTTATAAATACTTTTTCTTGACGCAGAGGCTTAGTACTACCCTTGGATTTCCTCTGGTACAAAAAACTGACGCAGGCCGAGCAGACAGACGCAGCTCTGTGCTTGTATGCGCTTCCACTTGTATTTCACGGCTATTTTTCACAAGCTCAGAAACAACGAATTTTTCTCACTTTCACTTTTCGTAAAATCAATCGTCGTTCTGTAACGAAAACTTTGAATAGGTTATTTGGCATTGATTGGAGTGAAAAGCAAAAGAAATTTTTGAAATAAATTCCTTAATTCTATAATAGAGCAGTTCGGACATCTCCAAGAACTGCAGTCAGTGTGTTCTTTTTTTTAACCAGCTACGTATGCGTATTTGCCATCACTCTCTTAGCACTGCGATACTTTTAAAACAAACCTCTGAAGCTCTCTGAAGAAGAACGTTTAGTGCGTTTTCGGTAACTATAATTACGTGCGCTTTTAAGCTTGATCGAACCTTTTTCGTTTTTCGTCGGCTTTGTTTACGTCTCTGCTTCGTTTCAACGAGTTGAGGTGAATAGTCAAATAGTGAATCGTTAAACAGGCTCGCTTTGTGATGATGATCGTTCCGTCGTCGTCGTGACGTCCTGAGTTCAGCACCATCTACTTTTGCTCCGCTGGAAATCTCAATTGAAAAGCTGCTGCGCTGGTTCAGCGAAATGTCTAACATGTATCACGGCTTACTCCTGAACTTCAACTAGAAACGATTTGTGAAAATTTTCATCACATTTCTGTTGCGTCACCAAAATCTTGTCGTTGTGGTAGTTGCGGCTAAAATGCACTCAAGCGTCTTCGGACTGTGTACTGGTGCTAATAATAACACTTACATTATGGAGACCTCCGGAATGCCTTCATTCACTAGCCACCCCTCCATGACGACGCTGAGCCGCTCCTGTTCAGCCCCGTAGTTTGCATGAGTAGGCATACTTTCCCACAACTCGTGCCTGGACACCGATCGGTATGCATTCTTGCGCAGGTACCTGAAGCACAGAAAAATTTCTGACTGTAACATGACGTGTTTTTTTCACCTGCAGTGAAACTTCTCAGGTCTTCTTTCATTGTCGGAAAACTAGCTATTTCAGTTTTTGTGGTAAATGTGCTATTAACACCAAGAAATTTCCGCAGAAAAATACTCTGAAGAAGAGCTTTCAGAGAAAACAAGCGGATTAAGTGATGGTGGCAAACATAAGCGAAATATAACTCGTATATAATGCTGAGATATCTGCACACTCCGGACCGCAGGTGTATGCGGTGGGGAACGAACGCGCGCTATTGTCCTTACCGGGGAGTAGCGCACTTCACCACCACACCATCCGGGTCCTTCGTGTTGCCTATCTCATACATCTGCGGTCTGGAGTTTTGCAAATATCTCAGCATTATATACGAGTTATATTTCGCAACATACCCTGCCATTAAAAAGAAAAAGGAAGTAAATGAAAGGGTTAAAATAAGCGAAATATTTTCAACGTGTTGGCAGTGTTTGCAGTCAAACGCTACCTGCGCACTCCAGTGTGGAATTCAGCGTCCGATACGAGGTTACGAATCATGTTTACCATCACCGACCCTTTGGTGTAGAGATGTGTTCCGTGGAATGACTGTTCGACCTCCAGCTCAGTCGTCAGCGGACGGACCAACGCCGGATGGTCCAGTGTTGACTGCAACAACGATATGACGAGACGCAATAAATTTCGCTGGTCACTCACTTTAACAAAGGGTACAAGAGTGGTCTCGTTAGTATAGTAGCAAGAACTTAGAGGTAGTTAATTGGGGCATTTCAGGATTTCGCTAAGGAAGTTTGCACAGTAGTCTTGGCATTGTTCCATCACTAGGGGCTGACCTCACCTGTTTTCTTATGAGTTGATATAGTCGAGTAATATACTCGTTTTCTACTAATCTAGGATGCTCCTGTTGAAGAAGATAGTATACCATATATGTTGCAAACCCTTCGTTAAGCCATAAATCAGACCAGTCACGCATCGTCACCAAATTTCCGAACCTGAACAAAAATAAGTGGTCCCGTTTTTTTAAAAAAGCTTTTGATTTCAAGGAAGGCATAGAAATTTGGAATGATAGCGTACCACTGATGAGCAATTTCATGAGTGATAATCTTCTCGATGCGGTATTCGTGGTAGAGACGGTCCACTGTCGTATTAAGGCCATCTGTGAGCAAAAAATCTCTTACAAACATCTTATGTCGGAGAAATCCCAAAGAGAAACCTTCGAGCGTAGTGTCTAGAAGTAGCGACTGCTTGTCAAAGACGATAAGCCCCCAGTTCTCCATTCCACCCACTGGGAAGCTACGCGCAGCGATAAGGTCCATTTTCGGCAACGGATACGGCAGCTGTAATTACATTATTAGGATCACAAAGCTCTGCTTCTCTACACTACTGCTTTTTTATAGCTTCGAGAATTAGCACTAATTTTGTTTGGCAAAAGCTCTCTAACGTGGAGAAGCCGTCGAGTGCCTGTGATAGTGAACTGACACGCTCTGGCGCGATCACTTAGCCTTGGAATCGCAGTCAACGAAACCAAACCCATGAAGAGAAATAGCTCCAAATGCGTGTACAAGAATATAACATAACGAAATATTAATAACATATTTTTGTGATCTTATTCGATTCAATATAGCAATAAGAGTGTTGAGAAAAAAGATATCGGTTTTTTGTTAATTACTCTTAGAGAAAGGATACTCCAACCTTTAATTCGTCTTCGAGTCTGTCAAACATTACAGGAGAAAAGTTCGCAGCAAATCGAGCATACAAAAAGTCTTCAGGATGGGTCCAAACAGTAAGAGGCAGATTCCTCTCTGTCCTCGCTTCCAGTGGTACCATTTCTCCTGAATTTACTTGCACTATATGATTGCTTCTAAATGTGTGTCATGCTATTACTGTGTATACCCATGGCGAGTGCAAGCAAATACGTGGACATCGGTGGGGTTTCTTGGAATGTGGTCATGGTTGTTCCGTCCGATTTTCTTTTTTCGCTACTTCGCGGCATATTGGACAGTACGACGAATCTTGAAGGATGCAGCACGGAGACGTTGAAGGTGGCCTAAATAGAATGAATATAGGAATTTGTGAGTAGAATAGAAAACTGTTAAGATCACTGCTCTCTAATCGACAATCATTGGGTAAATGACAATCATTTTTTGGTATTATCCGTCTTGAGCTCCAATCATTTTTTGCCGTTCATTTTTGCGACCTGGTATCTTCGATGAAATGAATAAATCATAGAAAAATTGAAGCCAGTCATGTGACTACAGTAAAAAATTACAAGCAACTAAATTTGTTCGCAATTGCCGCACCTTAATTCCAGGGTCGTCCCAACACGGGACAAATGAACTAGCAAGTGTTGGCTCAAATTTCGTGGTGAACGACGTCACTATGGTATGATTGTCCTGGAATGAAGTAAACTTCTGAAGTTCCACCGGTTTAAATTACAATATTAACTATTTATTTACTACCTATTAGTGTTTTTCATAACAGGGTATTACGTGTTGTATAACAACAACGATGCTGTGATATTTGCAAAATCTCCGGACCGTAGATGTCTGCGGTGGGTATCGAACGCGCCATCAGCCTTTCCGCGGGTCAACGCGCTCACCACCACACCATACGAGTTCTTTGTTTCGCCAGTCTCACAGCTAGTCCTACCGGTTTATTCAAGTAAACCAGCGAAAGATTGGAGAGAAAATGACTAATTCGGAAAACCGTTAAGGACAAAGGTTGTATGAAAGTTTGTGACAGGAAAATGGACTTTTTGCATCCAAATTTCTGAACAAAAACAAGAGCCACTTGAAGTTCAAGTTGTAAAATTAAGTTCTCAACGATGGAAAGGTTTTAGTTAGTTTTTAACTGCTCAGACAAAATTAAGCAAAAAGGAGCCTACCGAATCCAGTTCATAGTAACAGTGAACGCCACCATCCTCACCGCATATTGTGGTGTTATAATCAACTTCCAGAAGATATCTGGAAAGATTTTGTCTTGAAGAAGTCAGGGCTCATGCATAGGCTACTTTCAAAGTACTTGGTCAAAACAGTGCTAAAAAACGCCCAAACGTACCTTCCTTTCATCAAACGTTCCTTGAGCACTACTCGAGCCAATTTCCTCATGTCCTCTATTCTCAGTGTTTTAGGATAAACCCTTTTTCCTTAAAAGAAAAAAAGTTTTTTGAGACAAGATCATGACTCTATTCTTGTTTACCTCCCCTTCTCAGGCGTATTCTGTCGATGGCAACACGAGGACCAATGTGGAAAAGTATCTCGTCGTCTGTGGAGTTACCAAACACTTCCAAATGAGCCGTCAGGCTTCCCCGAACTAACTTTTCAGCGACATTCGTTAAATCTAACTGAAGTCGAGCGCATAATTCTTTTACCGAACTTTACAAGTTGAGGATTCAATCATAAATTGTCGCCTTTTCTAATGTTGGCTTTGGAATATTTTTATTAAAAGTTGTTTTGTTAAGAGATTTATGGTTTCACGAAGAAAAACGAAAGATCTGATTTGCATCTGAAGTCCATTTTGAAATTTTTACTTATTACCTTCGAGCTACATGACTCATATGAGAGATCCGCCAATTTACACCCTATTTTCATCTTATTTACTCATCAAATGTTCACGAACGAGCATCGTTCAGTGCATCGAGCAGTAAGAAGTACGAAAAGTAAACGATTTCATACATGAATATCGTAGTGAAGAGGTAGAGTGTGAGTGGGCATCGAAACGAGAATCACATCCTGTTTCCTTTTTCCTTGATCGAAGTGCATTTTCTCCATGAATTCGTACGACTCATACGCTGGAGGAACCACATCCATAAGAGTAAAATTTCGTTGTGTTTGCAACTGAAGGTAAGGTTATCGTTTGGCTCCAATTTCCTTCTCTCAAAAACGGATTTTAGAAGTCTCATATTTATTTTAGTCAATTCCTTTTTAGTATGTTAGTGAAAAACTCAAGCATAAATGTGGAATGCGAGCAATGGAATGCGAAACGAAAACTCCTAGATTAACTCCAACGAGCGACTTTCTATTAAGCTCGGTATTGATCGAACAATTCTTTATATTCTTGTTTAGCGAACACGACTGTTATTGAGAGTGTTAAATTATTGTTATTAATTGTTAGTTAGCTATAGTTAGTGTTAGATTGTTATTAAGCGCCGGACGAAAGAAAACTATTGTGCTTAGTATTGGGAGGACCGCCTCCTAGGTAGAGGAGAATAGTGGGCTCTGAGGAAGGCGAAATTCGCCGAAACGTCAGCTTGTGCGTAAATAAAGAATTAAAATAACTCCCGGTTTAGTTAGTTGTCACGGTGCAAACTTTAGTTAAGTAACACATTGTCATTGTTCCTAACCTATTTATAATTCGGCTTAAGTTTCCTGAATCCTATCACCATTGTGCGCCATTACTTTAAAACTCACCGGAATCAAACGAGCTTTGGGCCCTAAAGACTTTAACTCAAACTGAGCACTTAGTTTAGGTTGGTTAGACGTTGTTAGCTGTGCAGCATCTTCGAAACGTTGGTTAGTAGTGGCATGTGGTGGTGTTATGGTGGACAGCAACTTAAAGCAGGATTGAGCGACAAATCGTTCAGAAACCGTCATAAATTTTTTCCACATACCTCGTCAGTAACGGTATTTTTGTCTTCGTTTTGTCCAGAAAGCCAGTGGCCCACAAAGAAAGCAAGAAAGACGGCGAAGATAAGGACCGCATGGATCAGTAACACAAGGATGCATCGACGAACGTAGTCGGGTTTCCGATGCGATATAGAAGAGAAATCCGACACAAGCGAGTCTATAATAGCTGACACATTGAGTGACACGTCGATTACTTAATAGGAAGAGTGATTGCGAATAGTCGTGCAGTTTTTTGGTCCATGAGGAGCGGTTACGTAGAGCTTGGTGTAGAAGTGAAGCAGTTTTTGCATTGTTGAAATCTACCACTTGATACTGGGAAAGTTGCTTGGATAAATGTGGTTATGTTTTCCATAATTCCAAAGTGTGTCTCCTTTTCTATGTTCTTTTAACCATCGACTTATTAGCTGCTGCTTGAGGGAGACAGAGTGATCAGAGATTTCGGGCAATGCACGCATGGTGTGTGTGAAAGGGAGTTAAGCCTCCAATCCTCACTAGTGCTGGTAATTTTGCACCACACTTGTTTAGAAGGAATTCCATCTACTACGTGTAGGTTTGCGGTGGCTTTAAGTGTAAATATTACTCTAATAAAGCTGTCCCTCTACATTCAGGAAAAGGCAAAGCTTTTAAGTGGTAGCTGAACCCGCACGCAACTATGAATGCCTTCGTAGATGATGGATGCAGGACAGTGAGCTGGATTAGCGGACTGCAGTGATTCGTACATTGTTTTAGGTTGTTCCATATGAAATGTAAAACGATGTGAAAAGAAAATAATGTTAGGCAAAGTGCACATTCGAGAGGTTTTCTTATCCATGATAAAAATGGTTCGTAATGGGAAGAAAGGAACTGGCAACATCAACAACGCATTTAGCTCGGCAACCCCAAGCGAACAAACACGTTCAAGACGTTTAATGAAAAGAACTCAAGAACTAAGTAACTGGTTTACGCTCGTTCTGAATTTTAAACAAATTAGAAGGATGAAAAACATCGATAAGTGGGCGCTTCACAAACGTAGCGAAAATCAAAACAGTCGCTGTTTTGAAGTCAAGTATTGAGGTGCGCAAAAGAACGGCTCATTTCTCGATCATGTCGGGACGTGAGATGAAGACTGGATCCTAAACAACTGACAACATTCAGAACAGTGCTTGGATAGATGTGAAGCATCAAAATATTTCCCGAATCCGGAAACCAGAGGAAGGTTATGGTTACCATTTGGTGGTTTAGATAAGGAATCTTCCACAGCAACTTTCTAAATCGATAAACTGATGAAATGAGCGAGTTGAGCTATGAAACCCTATCTCACCCACCATAGTCATCCGATTTCCTGCTATACTACTTACACTGTTTCAAACACCTCAATAACCTATTCCAAGCAAGGTTGTTTAACAAGAAAACCGTCGCCGCAAATGCCAAAGTGAAAAGGATAAATTTAAATCTTTTTGGCGAAAATGTGCCTAATTTGATTATCAAAATTTCGTCCGAGCTTTTTCGTAACAATTTGAAATTAAGGTCTCGAAACCGCAGTTAATATTGCAGCAAGCTGTTATAAATAGAACACTATGTACCAAATATAGTAGTGTTTTGATATCTAGTACTTATTTTTCTAGAAATAACGGTGGAGTGTGATGCGCTGTCGTAGGAAGGACTTGAAAACATTTACATAAACAAGAGAGCTAGAGCGAGGTGCGGAAGTAGATATGATTAGAGGATTGGGGAAGAGCAGTAATCATGAGCTGCGGAGGGACAGAGGCGTTTAGATGTGGCCATATAACAATTTCCTAATCCTTCTTACTAGGCGTTTCGTTGTACTATAGCAACCATGTTCTAGTGATCTTTTCTTGGGTGAACCGATTAGTGAAGAAATTCAATTGTGAAATGGAAGAAAATGAAGGGCTTGGTGGTGCTTACCGGGTCGTTTAACCGCTTCCGGTTTCAAGCATGGCTCAATTTCCTCGGCTGAAAGTTCAGGCATGGTCAGTATTGGCGGACTCGTTCGTTACATGCCTCATTCCAAACACTGACATCTATAACAGAAGTGATCAATCGAGTAGAGAAGGTGAGGAAAGAAATCAGCTTAGGTAAATTATTTAGAACATGTGTTGCGTACAATTGAAAAGAGCGCTACTACTTAAATTGCGTAGGAGTTCAAATAAGATGAGGCTAAAGAAAACCTAGGGAAACTACTGTACTGTGTGCGACAACATCGCTCACGCTGTTAGTCAAAAACCAGCGAATATGATATGAGATGGGAGATTGGTGTCGTTGCACGAAAGAAAATGGACAGAATGAAAAATTGGCGCAGTTAAATTGATGGAGTAGAGCCAGAAGACATCATTAGACTTGTCTTATATGAACACTATTGTCAACCTCAATTATCCACAATGAGCTGCGGGCACTTGGGAAGAGGAACGTCGCCGAGCAGAAATCAAACTGGAATGGCTGCGGAAGCAACGTTAGGAAATGTAGAGAACCCGTTCGGTAAAAGGATAAAAAAAGGGTAAAGCTCTCGACTTTGATCAATCCTTGAGGGATGCACCATGCATTCGTCTTCATTGAGCATCGTTTGGAGGTGACCGAATGCATATCTGGCCCTTATAATGACTCTCGGTGGCCTACCGATGTATGAGCCAGTGCTGCCATCCTCCCAGACAAGTCTGGTAATAATTTGCCGACCGGAGAGACGAAGACTCGAGCACGGCAAGCCGGAAAGTGTGATCAGGGCCGGCCGCGCCGTTACGTCGATGTCGTACTGTAGCAGAGCAGCCGAGCGGGCACTTACGGTACGCGGCATCTTGTAATTATAGGTGGAGTTGAGGTAATTGAGGAGTTGTCAAGGGGCACGCGAGGTCGACATGACGACGCCGTTATGCCGTCAGATCGGCAAAATATTGTATAACATCAATACTATTGGCTTTTACCTCTGTGGATCTGATCTAACAAAATCTAAATGTTCTGTAATATTCGCATTTGGAAAATGTTTTCCTGGTTTTTTTTTGTTGGAAATATACTTTTTCACTGATAAGTGAAAAATGGAACACGAAAACTTACAAATTTGTGGAAATGGGACGCATAGAAATTACTAGTTGCAGTAATTTCTTTTTCTTATTAGAAGACGGAGGGCACAGTGTAGTGGTGCCTGTCATCACGAGCATGGTGCTAGTTCGATTCCGCTCAGGGCCAACCAAACTTCTAATCCGCTAGGGTCGGGAAATTGGCACCAGACTTGTCTGTGGAAAAAATCACACTCTGCACTACAAATTGGAGCGCTCCAGCCCAGCTATCTCAGGACTCCAGGGAGAATCGGCTCGACCAGCATTCTACGACGTTCCCGATGAAATGAAAATCCAGAAGCAGTAACCGAAGCCACACGTAGAAATTGGAGGGTCTTCGTGGACAATGGATGCGAGGAAACGAAACGAATGTGAGAAATGCTGGAATCCGCACAGTAAACGTGAAGACAGGTCATATGAAATTTAAAAAATTCGTTTTTTATTGCAGTGTTGGACTAAAATAAAGGAGCATTCAGTGTTGTTCTCAGGCTCAACTGGGACCATTCACGTGGTCTTGCATTAGACAACTTTCGTGGAGATGATTGAACGCACATCTGACCTACTCAATAATTTGCGTTTTTCTGCCGTGGTGCGAAGTCGGCGGTGGTATCCGCCCAGACAGGCCTGGTGCCAATTTGTCGAAACCTGAGGTATCAAGCCCTTGATTAAACTGGGCACAGAATCGAACCAAAAGAACCATGGGTGTATTGCATGAATCTCTAACAACTGCGCTAGCTACACTAGTTTATTTTATTATTGCACTAACGAAGAACATTAATGTATTGCACTAAAAATAGAAGCATGTTGAAATTTGTTTGACTGTATCGATTATTTTTCTTGTGCTTAAATGCTACATAAATTTGCGCACTTCGACAAGTTTGTATGTAAAATATTTCAGTGTAAGCTATGCTTTAAGAAGAGGAGACGAAGCACATGGCTTGACTAAGTGAATAAAATGTCTACTGCGAAGTTCAAACATTTAATCCACGGCGACATCAACTATGCTGAGGATTAACGTTAAGAAACCTGACGCTCATCAATCTCGCAAAGATGGCCTGTAAGATTCATTTTTCATCGGCAAACACGATGGTGCTGTGCTTGATATGTTGGCTCCATCATGCTTTGAGCCAGGTGACAAATCATTCATGGCCATTCCAGACTACCACACGCTGATTTCGCGAGTTGGACGAGCTGGAGTGACCGTTTGTACCTAGGAGGACGGAAGCCGATTAAGCAATGATATCTTCAACGCTGGTGCAAGGCAGTAGTGTAGCACTACAATGTGCTCCATGTTATTATCCAGTCATGGTAATAGCAGAAAGTTCAACAGCAGAGAACGACGAATTATTAAATAAAGTGAAAATCACGCAACTTTGAAGAACGACGCCTCAGTGATAGAGCTGGTGTCAAGAAGCTCGTTTCTTTTGACAGCTTCCAATTTTTAGGCACACAATTAAACTTAAAACTTAGGGGCGGGGGCTAACTAGATGAGAAACAGACGAAACGATGGACTCGCAAGGTGTGGTGGTGAAAGCGTTAGCCGCCGGAAGGGTAATAGGGTTCGTTCTCCACAGCAGACTCCTCCGGTCCGGAGTTTTGCAAATTCCTTAGCATCATTGTAGTTGTTTCACACATAATGCACTGCCGTGAAAAATTATAAAAGGCAGTAAATAAAAAGTTAGCATTGAAAAAATTAACGTTAAAACTTAGTAATCTTATTATCAACGGACAGTCATTTCAACAACAACCGCCTCGTAAAACAGAGCGCTGCCGGATGAGCATGCCTCATTTGTGCGGTGTTCACCGAAGAAGATCCGCCTCGATAGGACTACGAAAACACCACACCGAGATGGCGAACAACTGTGGACCACCGGCTCGGATCATCGGGTCTGATGAAGACGAAGATGTCGGAAAGTTAGCCGATATAAACATCCTTATCGACCCCATGTAAACTCAACAATTTTAAAACATGTTAGATCTTATTCTTGTAAAGTTTTCCACAATCTCACCTCACTTCGAAATTCGAAGAATCGCACTCGAAGTAATTTATACAAGAGGACGAATTTTCGTTCTGCACTAATTCGTTAAAATTAAATTCTACACACATACACACACACACGCGCAACATACACACACGTATATACATACATACATCCGTGCATACACAAACATGTGTATATAGACACAGTCGCACATAAACCTGTGCGCGTATGTTAAAGTGCCAGCGGACATATCTGTGAAGGATAAAATTGCCATTCATGGATCAGCTAGTCGAACGAGTCATGGGGCAAGTCCGATTCACAATCTCACCCTTCGCGAATATGTCAATTTTTCAAGATTTTATCTTCGTTTTTAATATATTCGAAGCGTTGCGCCATCTTAACTTTGCTTTTTTGCGTTCGTCTGCAGTTTCCTGCCCTTAGATTCGCCTTGTTTAGAAGCACAGTCTTCTCTCTACATGCCTATGGAAATGCTTTTGCGCGGATTTATTTGCGGTTGTTTAAAAAATAGAAGATGAGCCGTCTCGTGTAGCTTTTTTTCACTGGATTAAAGTTTGGGGTAAAAACTTATGATAAACGGTGTTCTTTTGCTGCAAGGTTAGTCTTAGGTTTTTAGAGAAGGTTTTGATGATGAAGAGGTTAAGGGATAACCCGATACAGTTAGCGATGA